ATTTCATATTCCTGGGGATATATCGTACGGCACAATATGTTTTTGTACTTTAATTTTGAATATTTTATAAATACTAAGAGATTTACGAGTAGGCCTACTCCAACATTGTATCATAGAGAGAATATTTTTTTTATAGAATAAGGGTGATAATACAAATGAGCACACAGTCCACCTGATGGTAAAGGATGCTGTGGCCTATAGACATACATTCATCCTCAATTTGGAATCAAAATGCAGATGCGTTGTCACCCCTGAGGATTAAGATAAAATGTCTCGTTTCTTGTAAAAAGGGTCTCCGGTTCTCTACACTCACCACACGAAACGAAACACAGCAGCATGAAGCTACTATTTCACGCTGGTATTCTGTGAAAATGTGGTCAAAGCGACCCATTCGTGTTACAACTATACTACTAATATAACTGCAGCATGGCTCTAATAAATAAATCTATAATAATATCGAATAAAAAAATACACGTAATTTTGGGTAGGGGAGGCGGGGGGTTTAGTCTTAAACCTCACTACGTCACCAAGAGGGAGGCGGGGTTTAAAATGTAAAAAAAACATCACGTGATTAATGGACGGCTCCTAAGTATGATTATTAGATCTGAATAGTTCGAGTGTGGTTGGTGTGATAGCGGTGTAAGATTTTCGACTGCCCGATAAGAACCCATGGGTTCATTCCCATGGGTTCGGTAAGAGGCGACAGAAGTAAACCTAAACAAGGGATGGGCAGCTGCAACATCTTGACAACAGCTTAATAAAAAATTAAGGAGGACGGCTGTCAATCCGCTTACTGCGCGTGGCGACTGAGGCAAACATTTCCCTTATGAGGAAATCTATGGGGGAGGTCTATGTTGCAGCTGCGGACGTTTGATAGGTTGCAACGAAGGATGTTTGTTAATAGAATACAATACAAATTTTTATTCAATATACCACCACCAAAGATACCACAGCGTGTGTATCATAAGCACGTGTATCACCACAATTTTACGTGGTAGAGCCATGCTGCAATTATATTAGTAGTATAGTTGTAGCACGAATGGGTCGGCTCGACCGGGGAGGGACCACGCTTTCACAAAATACCAGCGTCAAATAATAGCTAAATGCTGCTGTTTCGTATGGTGAGTATAGAGAACCGGAGACCCTTTTTACTGGAAACGAGGCATTCCATCTAAGTCCTCACGGGTGACAACGCATCTGCATTTTGATTCGTAATGGAGGATAGATGTAGATGTCTATGGGCCACAGTAACCACTTACCATCAGGTGAACTGTGTGTTCGTTTGTCACCCTATCCTATAAAAAAATTCGGAACAGAACAAATCTGTTCAATATCAATCAAATGATAATTTTTAAAGAAACCCAACTAAAACAGTTCTCAAAAAGACTCAAACGTGGTCTCTATATTAGATTATGTTTCGTCGGTTTCCAACTCATTAAGTTAAAACCGAAGCCGTAGCGGTATCGTTCAATTTATTTCGTAAGGAATAAATCAAGCGGAATCAATTAGGTACCTTCTTGAACTAACGCAAGTAAAATATGAGATTTTTTTTCGCGGATTCTACAGAGTAAGTCCGACTTGATGTGAAACCGATTACAAGATAAATTACCTTATTTCATTTTCTTTGTAAGAAGTACCCATAGAGGTATTTAGTACTAATATTAAAATTATTCTTATTTCAAAAATTCAGGAAATATATTATGTTCCGCATAATACGGGAGAAAACCCAGTTTGATGCTCGCCGACTACAATGAAATTCTTGACTGCAATTTTAAATGCTGATCTACGACGTGCGCCATGGTGAAGGAAAGGATTGTGAGGAATTACATATCTGAGCAATTAAATACCAGCGCACGGGAGCAGCTCTGCCAACTAACTGTTCCATATCCCCCCTCAAACATGAGAAGAAAAGGTGGTCGATAAATATGTAGAGCTCAGCAGTAGCAGTACATACGTCCTATATTGACTGGTATCTTCAAATAAAGATATTAAAAAGGTATCTAGGCAGCAATTAGCCCATACAAATATAATGCATAATGAAATGCATAAATGTATGAAATATTGTACACCAATAAACAAGAGAAAAAACTCAACAATTTACATAAAGGTACAACCGTACAACGTATACAATTGGCGGCTTACATATTCATTCGTACATCTGTTTTCTCAATGTACATTTAAACTAGAGCAAATACTTTTTACCTCACACTATATGTAACAAACATAAAAAGAAAAGAAAATGTTCTGACGTATCTACAAAGGTTGTTTTAGTTCTTGAAAAAAAAAACTACGTCCAGTATTGAAGGGAAAGATAGAAATTTCGTCAAATTTCTTGAGGTAAAATCAAAAACAGCACGACTGTAATCGGTCCTTAAAACCTGTTCTTCAAATCTCTTGTAGCCCAGAATAACCTCTTAAACTTACTTTGGCTTTCTCTCACAACGCAATCGTCCAACTCGAGTACGAACTAAAATAATTGGTCAGATGGCACAAAATTGAATAACAAACAAATTATACAACTATTACTTATCAAATACCAGCGATCCGGGTTCGCACAGGTGATATCTGGATTCTACAACAGCGCAAACTCCTAGCGGCTCCAAATATGAGTATAACACACACGGAAGTGCAAGCAATATATTGACAAAGTTGTATCGTAATCTTATGAACGGTATGGCAGCGCATAAAATACGAACAAACAAAAATTTATTTTTATGTAATACTAATAATGTTCTCCAGACCGAATTTCGGTCACGGCGGCCAGCCTCAACGGAGGCTAGCCATCGGCGCAGGACAGGATTATAGTGCCCAAGTGTATGCGCAAGCACAGGTGCACTCTCTATTCCATCACTCTCATATTCCGATAGGACGATAAACCGACACGACCGTAGAGAGATCAGGCGCAGGACCAACGGCTTTACGTGCCTTCCGAAGCACGGAGGTGATATACCGCCAACTTCCTGACTCCGGGCAGCTATTGAGAATTTCTTGACGGAAAAACTCAATATAATGATTTCTTATATTTACGCGAACACTACACATTGATTAAAACTACTTTTACGGATTTTATCGCGTTTATTTTTAATTCCCGACGTTTCGGGCGATTTCCAGCACCCATGGTCATCTCAGTCCCCCGTGACCATGGGTGCTGGAAAGGGCCCGAAACGTCGGAAATTAAAAATAAAACCAACTAAAAGTAAAATAAACGCGATAAAATCCGTAAAAGTAGTTTTAATCAAAAAACTCAATTATTAATTTTTTCGCCCGACCCGGGAAACGAGCCTAGGACCTCATGTAGTCGCGCCACTACAACCACTAGACCAAGGAGGCAGTCAACATAAATTTTTATGTATTAGATATCTGAACATCCCATTTCACTATTTCGTAAGCATTATAAAAATTAACAAAATGAATCTCTATGATACTATGATTGTTAAGCTTGACAATGACAATATCTCTCTTTCATGAGAGATTTTTATGGGATAGTAAGCTTTATAGGTAAGGGGCTGAAAGAATAGAAAAAGAACAGAATAGGTTTGGTCCGAATTCTTTGAAATAAATAAAATTCATAGAAATATTAATCTACAAAATACGTTCTATAATTGTAGTTCATTCTGCATTAATTCGCTATTTGTGTACTAATTTTTAACTTCCCGCTATGAAAAAAAAATTATTTTCAAAGAATCGGGAATTTATTATTTTCCACACCGGTTTTTGAAAAACAAGTTTTCATCAGATCTCGACGTTTCGAGGTCCTAGTTATTCTGGCTATTTTTGCTATGATGTCCGTATGTTTGTATGTAGATATGTGCTTCTGTGTGTATATATGTAAACAAATAAACGTATCATAACGTTGTAACGGAGTTTTCGATCGAAAAGCTGTTTGCGACATGTAAAAGGGTCTCGCTAAACTTAAATTTGCTGTTAATATAGATCGAATCGTCAAGGTAGATTCTGAGAAAACCGCGAGCGCCTTTTTGCTCTTCACAGAGCGAATGCGGTATCCACCGGGAAAACATGGTTCTTGCAAGAATATTTGTATTTGACTCATGCCAATGTCTAAAGTTGCCTGAATTTCGCGGTATGTCACATGTCGATCTTCCTCAATCAGCTTACGCACAGCATCAACGTTTTCTTGGGTGACTGCAGTTTTTGGACGACCTTGACGGGGATCATTACTGAGCTTGACACGTCTACGTTGAAATTCAGCAAACCAGCGATAAATTGTGGTTTTGGATGGGGCTTCATCACCAAATGCAGAAATCATCCGGTCAACACACTGTTTTTGTATTAAACCACTTCGAAAGTCATAACAAATCATCGCTCTTGAATTTTCTCGAGTCAATTCCATTTTCTCAACGACTAAACAAGTTTGACAAAACCTTGAGTTAAATATAAAAATTCGAGTATATTTAATTTTCAAAAAGTTGTTTTGTTGGAATTATTTCGACACCCTTGTTTTCATCCATACTTTATTCTAACCAGCTCTTCTACTCAAATAACGACGTCGATTGCGGTGAACCGAATCAAAATCGGTTGATTCGTTCGAGACATATCGTAGTTGAAAGAAATCTTGAAAGTGTTGTTTTTCAAATAACTTGAAAAATGTCCGTCAAATTTTTTTTTTTTGTTATAAGTTTTTTGTTAAGCTGAATGCTTATAATAGAGAAATTTTGAGCGCTTTCCATTTGAAGTTAGAGGGAAGTTTGTAAGGGAAAATTTCTGTTCAGATTACGTTGTTATGAACCATATAAATACTAATATGTACTGCAATATAGTGTAGGTGAAATAGTTATTATAATTAGAGTTTATATAGCAAAGAGGCTTTACTTTAATGAAATCTTAGCTAATATATGTAAAGTCTTATTTCGCATACCGACGATAATGTATAGTCTTGATAAAACACGAATCATATTTGGGATTTACATAAAAGTAAAAGTAAAGAGTATTTATGTAAATTGAATTGTAATTGCATATACAATAAAACCTATTTCACTTACCGACAATAGTATAAAGTGGCGAAGCCTCCTCACTGATGTCTTCTTCATACGCATCGTTGACGAACGCGGTGCCCGAAGAAGGCGGCGTGGACTCCAGCGCCTGCAGCTTGTGCGAGCCACGAAGAGAAGTTCGGAGGAACTCATTCTGCGCTGCAATCCTCTCTTCAGCTTCTTTGCGTTGACGAAGTTGCTCCTGCAAAAGAGGAAAGTGTGGTCAATAAATGGGTCATAGAATTTTATTTTATTACCGACGACAGCTCATAACTACATAGAAAACGTGTAGTTATGAGTTTTTAATAAATTGTATAGCTTATAGAACCTCAAAAACTTATATAACAACATTTTTAAAAAGAAACTCTTTTTATGAACAGAGATTTTTTTATAGAATAAGGGTGACAAACGAGCACACAGTCCACCTGATGGTAAGGGGATGGTAGGTGGCCCATAGACATCTACATTTATCCTTGATTAAGAATCAAAATGCAGATGATTATCACCCCTGAGGACTAAGAAGGAATGCTTCGTTTCTATTAAAAAAGGGAAGTCGGATCTGTACACCCACCATACGAAACACAGCAGTATTAAGCTGCTATTTTACGCTGGTATCCTGTGAGAATTTGCATTTCCCTTTCTCATATACATATATCAGGGACGTATATAAAAACAAAATATAACAATTATTTTCTTAGATTGAAATTGAAATTTATATTGTAAGAATATACTTAAAAAGGTAACTCTGACGTAAACTAAATATAAGTTTCTTTTTTCTCATAGCGGAATTCTAAATCTTATTTAAACCTTGCAGAAAAATAAAAATAAAGTAGTTCAGAGTAGTTAGAACAGGACTCAGTGTTTCGTATGAACGTTATTAGAGTTCTGAATCCTAAATAAAGGTTTAATTAACTACAAGTTAAAGTTCTTTCTCTTCTTCTTTACCGGCTCATGAAAATCCAAAGCTGGATAGGCATTTCCCATTGTGGGGGGGATTTACTTAATCGCCATGCTTGGCAGGGCGATAGACGAGCTAAGTACCAAAAGTCGTCTGGAGTAAACGAAGTAGTATAATGCCATTTGTCGGAAGCCCTAAGATTTGACCATTTCAATGACGACCGTGAGTTTCGTAGATAAAATGGGGCAAGCGTGGCAACATAAGTATACTCATCATCCGTTACAGTCTATCAAAAGTCCACTGCTGAATGTAGGTCTCCACCATTGATTGCCACATCATCATCATCATCATTACAGCCCTTCACAAGTCCACTGCTAAACGAAACAAGGAATGCCACAAAGCACGGTCCTCAGCCTACACTTCGCCTACCGATACGAGGCTGCCACTCGAGAACCTTTTTCCAAATCCGTTGTCGGTTCTTCGAGGTATATGGCCGGCCCATTGACACTTCAGCTTAAATCAGTTGGGCTATGTCGGTCACTCTAGTTCTACTGCGGATATCCTCATTTCTAAGTTTATCACGCAGAGAAACTCCGAGCATAGCCCTCTCCTTAGCTCGCCGAGAGACCTTGAGCGTCCTCATACGGCCAGCGGTGAAGGACCACGTCTCAGATCCATAAGTCATCACTGGCAACACGTACTCGTAACAAACAACACACACATTGGTTGCCACAAAGGGAGGATATTTGACTTGGTAGTCCCACTTGGCAGGCGAGATTTCAACCGCAGATAACTTTGAGGTATCACTGAGTTGTATAACCAGGATGACGCTGCCGCCACGGGACGATATGGGGTAGTGGATTCTCTTAAACCGCCATTTCACGGCAAATCGTAAGCTAAAGTAAAGTAGGTATATGAAGGAACCTAGATCTACTGTAGAAATTAGAACTTAGGCTGTTATTTCTTATTGCATTATAACAATAATATTTGTGAAATAAAACAAAATGTTAAATTAAAAATCTATCTAAATATGTATAAGCGAAATACCACTGATTGACTCACGAGGTCTTTAAAACTATACACCTGATTGACTCCAAATTTGGTACAGTTACTAATTTCGCAATGTAGACGCTCACTAAGAACGGATTTTACGATAGTCCGATAAAAAAATTTGATATTTTAGACGTAGGTTCCGCAATAAAATATTATCTTGCGCCCAGCATAGCGAGCGAGTATCAGATTGTCACTTATAAACGGTATGGAATATGGTTATCTAATAAAATCCAAAACCTTTAAACTCCTAATTGAAATTAAAGGAATAATGATAGTATTGATTAACAACATATTATTTTCTAAATTCTAATTAAATTCCTGAAGATTTAATCAACTGTAAGTAAAGACTTAATCACTTAATCACGTTAGCGGATTCTGTACGTAATTGATCGCATCCATTTGCCTACACGTAGTGTAGTGTTCCCGTTACTCTGCAGGTTGTGGTGTCGTTAATCTTACATTAAGCTCTTCAAAATCACGACGTTGAGGCCTGGCATTAATGTTCTCAGTAGTTTTAAATCTTATTTAAAAAAATGGCCATAACCTTTTAATTTGGTAAAGTGAGTAGACCTTCATTTTCTATTATGATATCATCAAATTATAGAAGTGTTAAAGTGCGATGCTGGCCATAAAAGAAATCATCGATCAATCTGTTTCTCAATTAATGCCAATATTTAACTTTTAATTAGCAAATTCGCAACCGCCATAAATGAAGAACGGTTGCAGAATGTACGTGTCGGCTCAATTTTGAACAGGCACATTTTGAAGTAGGAGCTTTAATTACTTTAAATCTTACTACATAGACTTTAGAATTTGATATATTTTTTACAATTTTTTAGTACTTTGATGCAGACTTCTACTTTAAATTAACAGTTTTTTCTTTAGTTACATTAAATTCATCTAAAACAAAATATTGTATGTTTTGAACGCTAGCTTTATGCAGAAAAAAAAAACTGAATTCACTAATAAGTATGAATAAGTTTTCTTAATACCCAATTACGTTTGTCAGCCTTGCGCTAAGAGAGAGATGGCAATTAACAAAATCTGTCAAAAGTTAAGTAAAGAAAAACACGTAATTAGAACTAATTATGGAATGCAGCAGGTTTTAAAGTAAAGTTATATCTGTTATACACCCGCTGCTGGGCGTAGGCCTTTTCTCATTCTTAGGAGCAGACCGACCGGAGGGTTATAGACCATAAGTTTATAACCCTCCGGTCGGTCTGCGCCTTCTTCTATGTTTCGCGTAGTGTATATTTTCTTTGCCTATGTGCAGTTTAAATGTTTAAGTGAATTTTATTTACTAAGGTACGTGAGGTCACTTTAATCTTTGCCACCCTATAAAACTAAAACTAGGAGGACAGAGACAAAAATATAAAATCGTATACTATAACTAATATATTAAGTAATAAAAACAAGCTTTGGCAATATTTAAGAAAACTTCGAAAAATAAATAAAAAAAAAACTATACTACACCATTCTAATATCGACTAAAATATTTACTACAATGTTAACTGCCAAAATGGCGTCGATAAAGTAGTGCCCTTTTGGCCATTTACTGTTTGATTGCCCGATGAAGAGTTATCGTATCACAAAGCTCTATCATCAATGCAAACAAGGCTGTAGTTTAAGAGTTATAAGAAAGTGACCATATTAACCTCATGTACTATGCTTGGCATTTCTACCTAGGAGTCCGTGGTTAGTACCCTCTTACATATGGTCAAATAGAAGTGCGTGCACCACCTTGTTCCGATCTGAAGGGTATCAAAGCCAGTATAATTACAGACTGAGGCATTCCATCTTAGTCCTCAGAGGTGTCAATGCGTAGCCTTATTTATTTGAAGTTGACTTCAGGTGTCCATGGGCTGGAGTAGCCATTTAATATCAGTGAACTATAAGTTTTAGTCACTTTATTTTTAAAAAAGAATACCTAAAAAATTCTATCAATTCTGCTTTTTATAATAAACTAGCTGGTCCGCCAGATGTTGTTCTACCCTTTCTGGTAGGTTGGGCAATAAAGTTCACTTCAAATTCAGTCCGGACATTCTACAAGGTAAAAATAAAATTTATTAATAATTACACTCCAGCGCCATCTATTTGGTTCAGATTTTATGATTTTAATAGTAATCGTTATGGTCAATAAATATAAAATTTGTTAATAACTAGACTACAACTATCAGTATCACTTATCAGATTCTAGTATACATAGATACTAATAAAGGGCACTAGTATAGTTATGAACCACCGTTACGACAAAACAATAACAAATACATTACATTTTGGAGTTTACATCAGCGAGTCGCACTGAGTCTTCTATTCAGTTCCGTTTTTCAGAAGCGTGTACACAATCACTATCTTAATTTTTGAGTTCGTACAATTTGTACTTATATATTAGTATTTTCACATTTTTATATGTTATTTATTTCTATGTATTACATACTAAACCACACAATTTTACGAGCGACTGCTTTTGGCGATCCTGTGCATCCAAGGTTGTCTGCAAAAAATAGCTTTTTGCTATAAGATCGCCCACTTAAAGTCTTTTTTTCTTCTTACGTTCATGTATTGTTTTCGTGTACTATAAAAGTTATGTATCTCGTCGTTCAGAGGTTAGACGATCACTAACAGACGCACAAACGATTATATTATCATCATCATTACAGTCCTTCACAAGTCCACTACTGAACATAGGCCTCCCCCAAGGAATGCCTGTCTTACGAGGTCGTCACCCTAAACTTCGCCTACCGGTACGAGGCTGCCACTCGAGAACCTTTTTTCCCCATCGGCTGTCGGTTCTTCGAGCTATATGGCTGGTCCATTGCCACGTCTGCTTACTAATCCGTTGGGCTGTGTCGGTCACCCTTTTTTTACTTCGGATATCCTCATTTCTAAGTTTATCACGCAGAGATACCCCCGAGCATAGCCCTCTCCATAGCTCGCTGAGCGACCTTGAGCGTCCTCATACGGCCAGCAGTGAAGGATCACGTCAAAGTTCTATAATATCTAGTCATCACTGGCAAAACGCACTAGTTATATAGTCTCGTTTTCATGTTTTGTGATATAGCTGACGAGAAGATGTTGTCGTATTTACCCGAACGCTGCCTAGCCCATTTGTATCCGTTGATTGACCTCTCGGTCGAAGTTGGACTTACCTAGTCGGATTATTTGTGCCAGGTAAACATACTCGTCAATAACTTCCAGCTTAGTGCTCCCAACAACTACCGGCATAGGTGTGACATAGACGTTACACACAA